AAAAAAAAAAAAAAAAAAAAAAATTCCCAGTGTTGGAAGGACTTTGGGGCAATGGTCATTCTCCTACATTGCTGGAGGTGAGGCAAACTGATCTAACCACCTGGAAAGCGACTTGACAACATGGATCCTAAAACATGATGGAAACATCAATACCAGTGGATACGGATCCAGGGGCTCTCTCATCCATGGCTGGGGGGAGTGTCAATTGATTTTCTAGATAAAAACTTGCACAGGTACAACAGAAGACATTGACAATAATGTTCATAATAGCAGTGTGTGCAAGAACAAAATCCTAGAAACAATGCAGTTACCCATCAGTAAGAGAGTAGATGATAAACTGTGGTATATTTATGTATTAGATTATTTTACCTCAGTCAAAACAAATAAGCTACAGCGAAATGCAATGATATGGATGGATTTTAGCAAAATAATATTAAGTGAAAAATAAAAGAAATCCTGAAAGATTGCATACAACATAATATGCTTTTATATGGAACTCAGAACAATTTAAAAACTATTCTTTAGGAATATACAGACATTGGCCAGGCGTGGTGGCTTACGCCTGCAATCCCAGCATTTGGGAAGGCTGAGGTGGGTGGATCACTTGAGATCAGGAGTTCAAGAACAGCCTGGGCAACATGGTGAAATTCCATCTCTACTAAAAATACAAAAGTTAGGAGCCAGACGTAGTGGCTTACGCCTGTAATCCCAGCACTAAGGGAGGCCAAGGCAGTTGGATCACGAGGTTAAGAGTTTGAGACCAGCCTGACCAACACAGTGAAACCTTGTCTCTACTAAAAATACAAAAATTAGCCAGGTGTGGTGATGTGTGCCTGTAATCCCAGCTACTCGGAAGGCTGAGGCAGGAGAATTGCTTGAACCTGCGAGGCAGAGGTTGCAGTGAGCCGAGATTGCGCCACTGCACTCCATCCTGGGTGACAGAGCAGGACTCCGTCTCGAAAAAAATAAAAAATACAAAAGTTAGCTGGGTGTGGTGGGGCATGCCTGTAATCCCAGCTATTGGGGACGCTAAGGCAGGAACCCAAGAGGTAGAGGTTGTAGTAAGCTGAGATCACACCATTGCACTCCAGCGTAGGCAACAGAGTGGGACTCTTTCTCACACACACAAAAGAGGAATACATACAGATACAATAAAACTATGTAAAAAGGAAAGCAAGGAAATGAGCACAGGATTCAGGATGGTTGTCCTGGGTGGGGAGAAAGGAGCTGGGGCAGTGGGGGTCAGGGGAGCTTTGGTTGATATTGGTTTTGTCAAGGTCCTAGCTTTTGTTTGGGGTGATAAATTCACAAGTACTAATTACATTATTAAATTAATGAATTTACTACCTAAATTAACAAAACCAGGCCATCCATATACCAATTATGAGAGTGGACCATGAACCAAGCATTCTGGTTAATCTAATTCGGTATACCTGACATTAAAAAAACAAAAACAGGGTATAGCTTTGGATGTAGTCAGTCAATTCACTTCTAAGCATTTATCTCTTTTTTTTTTTTTTTTTTAAAGAGACGGGGGTCTCGCTATGTTGCCCAGGCTGGAGTGCAGTAGCTATTCACAGACGCGATCCCATTACTGATCAGCACGGGAGTTTTGACCTGCTCCCTTTCCGACCTGGGCCGGTTCAGCCCTCCTTAGGCAACCTGAACTTAGTGCGACACCTGATCAGCATAGGGCACGCACTACAGCCCAAAACTCCTGGACTCAAGAAATCCTACAGCCTCAGCCTCCCGAATAGCCGGGACTACAGGCACGCGCCACTGCGCCCAGCTCTAAGCATTTATCTTAAGGAAATAAGCAGAGATACATATAAAAATTTATGAACAAGAACATTTGCCACAGTATTTATAAATATAAAAATAGGAAATAATCTAAGTACCAAACTAATAGATTAGTTATGTAAATTGGGTTATATCAATGTGCTAGAAAACTAGGTAGTCTCTAAAAATATTATTTTCTAATAGTATCTAAGTATATGGGCAAATGCTCATAATACATAAGTTGAATAACACAGGTTACACAATGTGAACACAATTTTTCTTTTCCCTGAGTATATATATGCACAAAAAAAAGCTGGGAAGGGCTGGGCACAGTGGCTCACATCTGTAATCCTAGCAATTTAGGAGGCTGAAGTGGAGGATTGCTTGAGCCCAGGAGTTCAAGACCAGCCTAGATAACATAGTGAGACCTTGTCTCTACTAAAAAAAAAAAAAAAAAAAAAAAAAAAAAAAAAAAAAAAAAAAAAAAAAAAAAAAAAACCAGGTCTAAAAAAAAAAAAAAAAAAAAAAATCGGGGCACCGTGGCTCACACGTTTAATCCCAGCATTTTGGGAGGCCAAGGCAGGTAGATCAACTGAGGTCAGGTGTCTGAGCCTGGCCAACATAGTGAAACCCCATCTCTACTAAAATTACAAAAATTAGCGAGGCATGGTGGTGTGCGCCTATAGTCCTAGCTACTTGGGAGGCTCAGGCAGGAGAATTGCTTGAACTTGGGAGGCAAAGGTTGTGGTGAGCCGAGATCACACCACTGCACTCAAGCCTGGGCAACTGAGCAAGAGTCTATCTAAAAAAAAAAAAAGCAAGAAAAATAAAGCTGGGAATACTACATGTCAAAATGATAATAGCACATATCTCTGAATGTTATGATTGTTTCTTCCATTCTTTTTTTTTAACCAATAACTCCAGAGAATATACCAAGTAAGACTGTTTCTTCCTTAAGCTTGCAGTAGTTCAAAAATTTACTATACTGAAGATTTTTTTTTTTTTTGAGACGGAGTCTTGCTCTTGTTGGCCTCCCAGATTCAAGCAATTCTCCTGCCACAGCCTCCCAAGTAGCTGGGATTATAGATGCCCGCCACCACACCCAGCTAATTTTCATATGTTTTTAGTAGAGACGGGGTTTCACCATGTTGGCCAGGCTGGCCTCCAGCTCCTGACCTCAATTGATCCGCCTGCCTCGGCATCCCAAAGTGCTGAGCTGACAGGCATAAGCCACTGCACCTGGCTGTGAAGGTTTTTCTACAACCAAAAATAATCACATTATAAAAATAGATGTTAGTTGTAGCTAATGTAGATAGGGTACTTATTATATGCTAAGAGTTTTACAGGGATTAATTTAGTTAAAACTTAAAATAATTCTATGAGGATAGTACTATTATGACCCCCATGTTACAGATGAGGATACTAAGATTTAAGGGGTTAAATAGCTTGTATGAGAACATGGATGATAAGAAATGGTGTGGAAATAATGCCCTATAGAATGGGGTTTCTAGGGGGTTCTTCAAAGGGTACACAATGGTAGAGTCCTGGTCTCCTAAACCCAGTGATGGCTACACCAGAGATTTCTCTGACATTCAATGATTTCTCTGAGAACAGTACTGAGAACTGAATGGTCTGATGAGGAATCTGAAATTCACACAGAGAAAGAGGCCCCCTTGGGGTGTCTGAGCCAGAGCCTACACATTTCTGATGAGACACCTTAACATTGTACAATAAACAAATGTAGGCATGGTTTCCTGTGTTTTCTTCAAAACATCTAGAATAGATGTGATTAGAGGGAATGATTTTAACAATCAGTTCTGGCCGGGCGCGGTGGCTCAAGCCTGTAATCCCAGCACTTTGGGAGGCCGAGGCGGGTGGATCACGAGGTCAAGAGATCGAGACCATCCTGGTCAAC